GCCTTAGATCCCAGGTTGGCCTTGCACAGGTGCCCATTGACCATGGTAAGCTGGAGGTTCAGGCCTGGGCCCAGGTGGCTGCTGTCTGAGCCCTGCTTCCGTGCTTTGCTCCTGCAGGCCGGTGATATACTGGGTGCTGTCTTCAGGCAGATTTCCTCCCTAGCCTCTTCCCAGGGTCTGCCAGGCCAAGCTCCTGGCAGCACCTGCTGCTTTGGATCTGGACCCCACCCCCCTGTGCTCCCAGGGCCAGGTTAGGGTCTGCTGTGGGGCAATGGGTGGGACCACGGAGCCCAGCAAGGCCATGGGTAAGGGCCAGGAAGAGTCCCTGGCCCTGTCACCCAGCCCACAGCACCCAGGCTTGGAGTGTGCAGGGCCCCTGGACATCTGGGGCAAGTGGCTGGTTACACCCCTCCCCTCCCCACATGGGGCTTCTCTGGTTAGGTATCCTGGGGTCAATACCCTCACTCTGTCACTTCACCCTGAACATGTCACTGCTGCATTTGCCCTGGGAGGTGTACAATGAGCTGTTTGTGCAGGTGGAGGGATGCCTGAGCCACTATGGCCTGAATCTGCTGTTCCTCCTGGTACTGTGGGGACACCTGCACTCCTGCTTTTGGATCCTGAGCTATGACAGTGTGGGAAGTAAGCCAGGGCTTCTCTCCAACCTGCCTGTACTGCTGCCTGCAGCAGTGCTATATCTCTTTGCTCACTGCTATGGAGAAGGACATCCCCGCTGGCATCAACACCTTCCTCAGCATATGAGAGGCCCATGCCTTCCCAGTTGCAGGGATGCAGGCTGCTGAATAAAGTTCTGAACTGTGTGCTGTAGGTGGGGAACCTGAGATTAGGGGAATGTGGGCGGGCTGTGATCAGGGAGCCGTGGCAGGGCCCAGGGGCAGGAGCGGGGACTGGGAAGGCTCTTCTCCAGTGCAGAACTTAGTATGTGTCCTGGACTGGTGAGGATGGTGGCTTGGCATCGTCCACCCCATTGGTAATGGGTTCCACCTGCACCTTGTGTCCATGGCCTATGGTAATCTGAGGTTTCACTGGAAAATGCTGTTCACTTTTGCTCTATGACCATGGATGCCTTGGCTGATGCCACTTCTTCTGTGGGGCTCCATGCCTCCCCTACACCCCAACCCTTTGAACTTGGGTAAGCTGATTTGGTCTCAGTAGTATCTGGGTGTGCCACAGGCACAGCCTGTTCCTCCTGGAAGAGCTTCCTTTGTGGCTCTTAACAGGACTGTGGTTCTGACAACTTAGACTGAAAAACTGGTCAATGAAGGCAAGGAGCAGTTCTTGATTTTACTCCCGATGTTTTTCTTGGATCTGCCTGGCAACAAAAAACAGGTCCACAGTGCCTCAGGATGGTCAGATGCCACACTGGGTTTTTTGAAGGATCTCCTCAGTGATGGGACAAAGGAGGTTCAGGAGGATGTGGGTCAGGATCTTACCCACAATGGACAGAAGGAAAATTCCCCTGTAGTTCTCACAGTCAGATTTGTCCCCCTTCATTTAGATGGTCATGATGGTCACATTCTTGAGATCCCCAGGGATGTCCTCTTTATCCCAAAGGTGGAGGATGTGCAAGCAACCTTAGATCTCTTCCACATTTAATATAAGAGACTTGGCCTGTCCTTGAACATCACTAAGATGAAGGTGATCCATCAACCTTCACCAGGCCAGCTGAACATCCCTTGTGCTATCTACATAGACAGGGAAACTCTGGAGTATGGGGATACTTTCTGTATCTCAGCAGCCACCTCTCTCAACAGGCTACCATCGAAGAAGAAGTCTGGCACTGGGTCAGCTGTGCCAGTGCCACTTTTTTCAAACTGCAACAAAGTGTCTTCGAAAATAGAGACCTTCAGAAATAGACAAAGGTCCTGGTTTACAAGCCTGTTGTGCTGACCACCCTCATCTACTGCAGTGAAACCTGGACCATCCAGTGATCCCACATTAATACCCTCAAGAGCTTTCACTAGTGCTGCTTGTGTTAAATCCTGGGGGTCAAATGGGAGGACTGCTGGACCAGTGCAAGCATCCTCCGTGAAGCTGTGTCCACCAGCATCAAAGTCTTGCTCTTGAGAAATCAACTCCGATGGACAAGCCACTGTATCCGGATGTCCGAGAACTGCCTCCCTCACCAGATTCTCTTCTCCCAGCTGTCTGTTGGCCAATGCTCAAAGGGCAGCCAAAGTAAATGGTACAAAGACACACTCATATTTGCCCTCAAGCACGGAGGCATCGACACCAATGCCAGGGGGGAGCAAGCTGCTGACCATTTGGTGTGGTGCCATTTGGTCCACTAAGGTGCACACCAATTCAAGGCCCAGTGACCTGATACTGAGACAGAACAGCAGGGGTGGAGGAAGGAGAAGGAGACCAACTCGGGGCTGCAAATCCCACAGCTCCTTCCTTCAACAACTAGAAACTTCACTTCATAAATCTACTGGATATAAAAAATCATGGACTCAATATAGACATTGGATTTATGACACACTATAACCTGCCTGACATCTGACTCCCCAAGTTCCTCTCCACTTTTACCTGCTACACCTCCCTCCCCCCCTCCCCCAGCCTGTCTCTCACCCCCTGGCACCTCAATTTACATTTTCAGTTACTGGCTTTCTTACCAGCATCCCAGCCTCTGGCTTCTTTACTATTCATTCCATCCAGGAAGAGCACACACACCAACTGCAAATGCTTCCTCAGCCTGATGAAGCATTTTTAAACCCAAAAGCTTGCCCCAAAGAACCTTTCCTGCCTTGTGTGTGTTAAGGCAGAGTGGAACGAATGCAGCAGGGATAGTACCCTGTAACAGGGGGCCTTCCCAGTGCTGATTAGATCTCAGCCTGCCCACTTGTTTGTGGGCCAACCTCCCACCACTCTTTCTCCTGCCACAACTTGATGGAAAACTGATTCCCAGGCAGAAGGCTTCCCATTTAGGCCCATCCAGGAACAACAATCCCCTGGAACTTCTCCATTTGATTCTCAAGCTCCTTCTTTATGGGGAACATCTGGCTAAGGATGGTATCACCAGTGCTTCTGGGTTGAGGGTGGGGATCCTGCCTTATCCCCCTGCTCAGCAGACAGAGGCAAAACATCAGGGGAAACTAAGTCACCTTCCCCCACCATGATCCGTGGGCTGGGGAATTGGCTCCATGGCAAGACCCAGAGAGTGGTGGTCGATGGGAGTCAATTGTATTGGTGAGCTGTGACCAGTGGTGTCCCACAAGGCTCTGTCCTAGGGCCTATGCTATTTAACATCTTCATCAATGATATGGATACTGGTGTCAGAAGCGGGCTGGCCAAATTTGCCGATGACACCAAACTCTGGGGTTAAGCATCCACACCTGAGGATAGGAGGGTTATCCAGGCAGATCTGGACAGACTCATGAAATGGGCAGAAAAGAACCTGATGGTGTTCAACACCAAAAAATGCAAGGTTCTCCACCTTGGGAGGAAAAACCTGCAGCATACTTATAGGCTCAGTAGTGCTATGCTGGTTAGCACTACAGATTAAAGGGACTTGGGGGTCATGATTGACCACAAGATGAACATGAGCCTGCAGTGCGATGCTGCGGCTAGTAAAGCGAGCAAAACAATGGCTTGCATCCATAGATGCTTCTCAAGCAAATCCTGGGACATCATTCTCCCACTGTACTCATCCTTGGTGAGGCCACAGCTGGAGTATTGCATCCAGTTTTGGGCTCCACAATTCAAAAAGGATGTGGAGAAGCCTGAGAGAGTCAGGGAAGAGCCACGCACATGATCGGAGGTCAGGAAAACAGACCTTATGATGACAGGCTGAGAGCCATGGGGCTCTTCAACCTGGAAAAGCGCAGGCTCAGGGGTGATCTGGTGGCCACCTATTATTTTATCAGGGGTACTCATCAAGATCTGGGGAAACATCTGTTCACCAGAGCACCCCAAGGGATGACAAGATCGAATGGTCACAAACTCCACTTTGACTGATTCAGGCTGGACATAAGAAAGAACTTCTTCACTGTCTGAGCTCCCAAGGTTTGGAATAGACTGCCTCCGGAGGTGGTTCAAGCACCCACTTTGAATGCCTTCAAGACACATTTGGATGCTTATCTTGCTGGGATCCTATGATCCCTGCTGACTTCCTGCCCCTGGGGCAGGGGGCTGGACTCGATGATTCTCTGGGATCCCTTCCAGCCCAAATGTCTATGAAATCTATGAAATTTCCAAGAAGAGAGAGTAGGAAGAGAGTGACTAGGAAGCCAGCCACTTCAGCCAGTATCTTTCACACGCTGTTGCTTCCAGACAGACAGCTCACAAAAGGGAGAGGAAGGCTTTACAGAGCCTTATATGCTGTTTCTACTCCCCTCCCACAGAGCACTGTGATTGGAAGATAACTTATGGAAAAATCACAGTCACTGGCCAGCTACAGATGTCCGTATGAGAACAGTATTTCCCCTCCTCCTCCCCACCTCCCTCTTCTTAGGTTCTGTTTCCACACAAGACCGCCTTTCTGAATTGCCAAATTGCTGAATCTTCTCCCAATCTTTTCCTAATTTATTTGGATGCTTTGAATGAATCCAGGGCTTTTAATGGGTCTCCCAATTCAATTTGGATTCAATGATTTGGCTGCTGAATCAGGCTGAATCTTCTCCAAATCGAATTGGCGACCAAAGCTTCGCCCATGCTTACTTTCCACTATATTAAGAACTTTCTGAACTCAAATCCAATTTTTTTCCAATCCTTCCTAGTTTCAGTTCATAGAATCATAAAAAATATACCTGGAAGGGATGCCAGGTCACTTTTATTCCAAACCCATGCTTTAGGGAGTATCATCCCAATCCAAACCATCCTTAAATATTTCATGAACAACTGTTACAGGTGATATTCCATCTTAAATATTTCATGAACAACCATCATACAACTACCAAGCATAACACCTTAAACATGAAAAACATCCCTTTAGTTTGCCACAGACACATCACAGAGACAAAGACACTGTTATTGTCCTGATACTGCAAGAACTTTATTGGAATGTGCTTTCATGTATATGAGACAGAACAAACTAGGCCAAAAAATGAATTAAAATATGTTTCATTTATATGATAGTCCTTAGAATTAAATAGTCATCTCTTTTTCAGATTCATAAAATAATATCTAGCTTTCTTGACCATCTTGACAACACATCCAGTACTTCACTGAAAGTTATTTCTTCATCTGAGCTGATAATTTTAGCTAGAGTTAAAAACAGCCTGCATGGCTGTGCAATGGAGACTAAATAACTGGGATCCACTAACAGACAGCAGAACAGCAGAAGAAAAGATAGTTTGACTAGTGCAAATCAAAACAGTTAAAAAGGAGAGAGCATTGTTAACACCTGTGGGATGAAGAGTTTAGAAGGAATCAGATATATTATAATGAGCCATGACATCAATATACTCCGTCAACTGCTGCCTGAATAAAAATGCTGCTGCCATGGGCAGGTACTGTTTTTTGTTTAGATGGAGCAGGAATCAAAGGGGTGGATGGAGGGGGTGCAAATACACCTTGACTCCCTCCACCTCAGCACTGTAGGCTCAAGGACATATTTTCCTCTGTTCTCAGAAGCTGATGAGGCCAGAGCTCTGTCCAGGCAGCAAAACTCCCTTTACCAAGACTGCTTGCCTGCAGGAGGAAGACTGCAATTGAGACAAGCACCATCAATGATGGACAAGCTTGGAATGACATACAGGCCTAGAACCACTTACCAAGGTCATCTGGAAATGCTCACAGTCACCAGTGCTAAACACAAAGGTCTACAAGGGGGCCTCGTGTCACTCTCTTTCTCTTTTGCTTTTCCTATTTCTCCTCTTGGTTCTGTATGTATGAACTTCTCTAACTGTACATTACCACAAATGAACTTTATGGGCACATTGCTGATGTCTTGCAAAATATCAAAATAATTTACACCTTGTTATACCATGTCTGACTGTGAGCTTGAGAGTGTCAGGACCTTATGTTTCATTACAAAGATGCCATGCTTGGTGCTGCAGAATTTGAACTGCTGTGATGATTGAAGATATCACACAGGTCCCTGTACAAGTCTCCAAGGGACTTCCAAGATCCATCCAAGTCTCTGTACAAATTCTGTTCTCTGATACCTGGTAGTAAATCTAAGGTACTGCTCAGAAGCCAGTTAAAACACACAGCTGCAAAACTTCATTGGGAACAACTACATTGGCCCAAATCTGCATTATCCACTTACACAAGTGGAGACCACAAAATCCTAGAGGTGAAACGGGCCTCAGGGGTCATCTGGTCCATGCACCTGGATCCATCCTGCACAAACACATGTCCAACCTCTATTGGAAATTCTCCAACAAAGGACATCCCACAGCTTCTTAGGTAGCTTGTCCCACTGTCCTGATGCTCTTACAGGCAGGAAATACTTCCTGAGACTTTAACTGAATTTGCTTTGCTGTAGAACAAACCTACCTCAGGCACTGCCCTGTGTGGCAAAGAGCAGCCATTTTTGTTGTTCATCACTCTGACAGCCTTTAGACTTGGCGAGACCTGATATAATGTTGTGCTCTTCCCCGCTGTAGCCTCTTCTTCTGCAGAGGGGATAAACTTTGTAAACCCAGGTGAGCTGCAGTTGGAAGCAGACCCAGCAAAGTTAAACTGTTCTGCTGTAAATTTTAGTAAAGAGAAAGTACTAATCACCTGAATTGTGTTTAGTACAAAGGTGCTACACTGATGAGGCACAACAGGCATCTGTTTGATTGGCTCGTAAGCATCAGCACAATAAAAATGATTAACAATAGTAACATTGGGGTGATGCTGGCTGGAGAACTGAGATGACACACAATTAATGTCTAAAGAAGGAAAACAAGAAGGAGAACAATAAGAACTGCAACACAAATAGCAAAAAGAACCCCCAGATATTTTTTAGAGATGCATTTCTCAGCCTGTACCCTGGCTATATTGCATCCTTTCATGTGGTCTCTCAATCTCTCTTCAGTTATGCTTGGTTCCAGATGCATCTTGTTGGAATAATAGCCACCTCCATTCTGCTGGACCATCCTCTGGATCATGTCCATCAGCTCATTAGCCTGCTCATTCTGTTCTTCCCCTGTTGCTCTGTTGTTGAAGGCACAGAATCGCTCCCCACACTTCCGGATCAGGGCCTGAAGATCTTTGTTGCGTAACTGAGTCACATATTCCTTTAGGGACCCATTACCCAAGTCTTCTTTCCGGGTGAATAAGATGATGGTGTGCTTCAGGACTTCCTTCCCAAACACATCCTGGACCCTCTTCACAGCTGCCTTGTCCTCCTCAGTGTAACGGCCCAGCTGGGTCACCAGCACGACTGCGTGGGGTCCTGGCTGGGAGAGTGCGAGGCAGTGCTTGACTTCTTCGTAGATTTCTGCATTGCAGCTGTGGGGGTTAAACAGATCTGGGGTGTCAATCACCATGATTCCTTGTTCCTTGCGCCTGCCTTGTCCTTTCTCACACCTCATGGTTACTGCCTTTGCCCCAAGTTGGGATTTGAACAGGTTCTGCCCAAGGAGGGTGTTTCCAGTTGCACTTCTCCCACCACCGCTTTTGCCAACAAGGATGATTCTCAGTTCTGAGTTCCTGTGGTCACCTGGGGAGGAGGGAACAAGCCTAACAGTCACACATCTGTATAGGCAGGAATTCTGAGTGGGATTGGTATACAATTCTTAATTACCTCAAACTAACACCTTTAGGAGCCAGAAGGCCCAAAGCAAACAGACCACTGGTTCTAAACCAGGGTGCTGTGTCCCACTGGGGTGCCTTGAGACCCTTTGAATGGGTTCTTCAAAGTACCCAACAATGTTAGCTCTGCAAAGTGTGCAAGCAGGATTAAGAAGAGAAATTCAGGGACTGCAGATACCAACCCACAGTTTCAAATCATCCTGCACTGCTGACAGTCTGAGCTGAGCTTTCAGAGCTCTTTGAAACAGAAGATTGGCTTTAGGATTTCTGTGTAGTCAAAAAATGGGTGAAAAATAAGAGCTGGTATTTCTCAAAGGGGCGCACAACGTATCAAGAGGTTCTTTAAGATGGTCAAGGGCACAAGTCTTGAATCTGTGGTTGTCTTTCCATCCCCATCCCTTTGCAGAACCTCACACTTAGCTGCCTCACACTTAATGCCACATACATGTGGGCTCCAAAACATTCATGCTTATACTCTCAGGCGATTCAAGTGCTGAGGCAAGGGACCGAGTCAGAGAGGGTATGGGTGACATTTAAACAAGAGGTAGGGGTTCATTTCATTGTCCAGCCCATTGGAGCCATGACCAAAAATGCTGTCATACTTTTCCCGGGATGACTGGTGGACATCCTCCCCACAAAGTTTATGAACGGCCCAAATAATGCCCTTAACTATGTTAAAATACTACACTAAGGTCTGTATGTCATGCTAAGCTGAGGCTTATTCACAACAGGTAAAATACAAAACATTTACGCTGACTTCACAGGGCAAGCATAGCGAGTCCATCTGAGACAAAACAATGTGGTATCCCTTCCAGTGTATCTTCTATATTCATAAGAATTTCAACCTGGCTCCTAGGTGTCTGGTTACTCCTTAAAACTTTGTTTTTCAGGTTGTTAATCAGTTTCTCGAGATGTTCCAAACCAGATAACCCCTTTTCACTGAAAAAGTAATTCATCCAAATTGAAACTGTTTATATAACAGAATTTTCCCGATCAGTGATGTCTTGCTTATGAAATCACAGAATTAAAAGAATTCATTGAAGAGCCTGGGCTCAGGGTATAAGAAAGCTGTAAATCAGCAAACAGTGTGCTTCAAGAGGGAGAATTCTCTCTGACACCATCCGCTGTTGTTCTCAAGGAACAGGGATTGATTGTCTCTTTTTGGTGCCTGTTTAACCTTCGACTATCATGCTGGGAACTGTGCCTCTCAACAAACCACCCAAGTGCTTTGAAGGAATGGGGAAATCCCATCTCTCTCTGTCTCTCTCTGCCTCTGTTTCTCTCTCTCTTTTTCTCTCTAGGCATAGTTTTGTGAACTTGAATTTTATTAGCTAAGCTTGAGCTAGCTTTCCCCAAATACTCAAATGAACCAGGGTAATATTATAATTGCTCTTGTTTGTGTTTCCTTGCATGGCTATTATCCATATACTTAGCAATAAATAACTTTTATAGTCAAATTGGTGGTAAGTGGGAGTATTTTACTTTCTCTACTTCCCATTCCCCACTTGCTCTGCAGTAATGCTTCTTTTACCTAAGCCAAAGATCATTCTAAATCCCAAAAATATTGTGCAGTCTGCTCATCAAGACGCTACCACTACTAGGACGGATAGGGCAAAAGACTGGGATGCGCTGAGTTTGAGACACTTAAGGGGAATAGCTTGCATAAGCTGATTGACCCACTTTGTCTCAGACATGCCCTAATGAACTGAATGCTGGCCCATGAGTGTGTAAGCTGGACACACAACCTGATTCAAAGATATTCTGTTCCCCTGTGTGCGTGTGTTTGGCTGCATTTTATTCTTGCCCCGATGAACTGATTCCACGCATTTGAGGGTGTCAGCCTGTACATACAGATCAACCCAGCTGGGTCAGGCGTGTCACGTTAATCACTGTGTGCGCGTATGTAACTGATTTGGTGCTGGAGTAACCAAGCAGAATTAAAACTGAGTCCTGCATTATAGCTCCATTGGGGAATGCGGATTTGCAGAAGAGAGAGATACAGCTCGATTTCAAAAAACAAGTGATATAAGCAGCACATGGATAGAATTAGACAGACCCTAGAAATAAACCTGTAATAAATAATGGCACCCGTAACAAAGCTGGTAACAGACAATTCTCATCTGTGAGTTCCTGTGGTCCCGCAGGGTGTGCGAATAAACCTCATGGTCACAACATCTCTGCACAGGCAGGAAAGATAAATGAAATCGATATACAATTCTTAATTACCCCAAGCAACCAGTCTGTATGCTGGGGTCAAGAGGCCTAGAACAAACAGATGACCAATTCTCAACCAGGGTGCTGAGGCCCTCTTGGGTGCCTTCAGAATCTTTGAAGGGTTCTTCACGGTGCCCTACAACGTTAGCACTGTCAGTGTGCAAGCTCAATTCAGAAGATAAACCCAGGGACTGTAAATAGCAATCCACAGAGGTCAAACCATGCTTCCCTGCTGAAAGTAGTAGCTCAAATATCTGAGCTCTTGGCAACAGAAGACTTGCACTAGGGTTTGCGTGCAGTCAAAAAAATAGTGAAAAGTAAGAGCTGGCATTTTCCAAGGGGGCCTAGACTGTATCAAGAGCTTCTTTGAGATGGTGGGGGACAAGGGACAAGACCCATCGCTTTGCCTCATACCAGCTGCCACATACACATGGGCCCCAAAAGATATGTGAATCTTTTATGTGAATGGCCAGCTCTCTCAGGCCATTCAAGTGCCCAGAATTCATTTCCCCCATTAGCGGTTTGATCATTGGGACAGAGCCAAAATTGGAGAAGGGAGATTTAACCTTACCTGCTGTGGAACTAGCTTTTTTACTACCACTGGTGCTCTGACAAAAGAGCAGGATGATGGGAAGCTGCCTTGATAAGCTTTGTTGGCTGAGCCAGAAGAAGGTCAGATGGTCACATGAGTTTGTTTTCCCAGAGTGGGGAAACCAGTAGTGTCTGGTAGAGGTGCACAGAGGTACAGTGATGACCTGTTCCCAGTCAGGGGTCAGAGGATTATGCAAAGGAGATCTGAAAGTGGTTAGACTTACCCGAGGTGAGGTCTGGCACAGGAGTGTCACTTTCCGATTCATGTGGCATTTCTTGAGCTTCACCTAGAAGGGAAAGGAGAAGCAGAGAATTGGCTAATGGGATCTGCCCCAAGAAGACAGGGTTTCCTCTCCAGTGGGGACGAAATAGCGGTACTGAGCCAAGAGGCTGTGTTCCCTGTCTAACCTGCTGCAGAACTGGCCATTTCACTCCTACTGCTGCTCTGACAAAAGAGCAGGATGATGGGACACTGCCTTGATAGGCTTTGGTGGCTGAGCCAGAAGGCAAAGGCCAAGGGGTCAAGTGAGTTGGTTTTCCTGGAGAGGGGAAACTGGTAGGGGCTTGCGCACTTGCACAGAGGTGCAGTGATGACCCGACCGCAGTTGGGGATCAAAGGATTGCACATAGGAGATCTAAGAGTGCTGAGACTTACCCGAGGTGACATCTGGTACAAGAGTGTCATAATCTGGTGAATGAGGCATTTCATGAGCATTGCCTAGAAGGGGAAGGAGAAGCAAAGAATTGGCTAAGGGGATCTGCCCCAGGAAGATGGGGTTTCCTCTCCAGTGCAGACAAAATACCAGGACTGAGCCATGTTTTATTGTCACTTGCATGCAAGTTAATATGGAGTAGCACTCAGACTCCAGTTTTTAATTCAATGCTGACTGTGTGGTATGCACTAGCATAACTAGAGAAGGAATTTACTCGGAAATTAAAAAGGGTGCATAGAGCTCAGGATGGATGAAAACTGGGGCCTCCTAGGATGTCAGTCGAATTAAAGAAAATGAGCAGTGCCACAGGTACAAGACAACTTACAGGAACTCATAAGACTGTGTTGGAGTACTAAAGGAAGACACTAGCCAAAGTATTTTACCTCAGAACAGCTGGCGTGGCAAGGGCAGGGTAGGGGAATAGAGCAGTCCTGCGACTCATTCCATGCAAATCCCCAAGCCTTTAGCTGGGCAGGCAAGCATAACTAGCCACATGGCATGGGGAAAGAGCTTCTGCCCACATTTCAGCCAAATAGCCTAATGGATGGGGAACCTGCCCATACTATGGGGACCTGTGATTTGGGACCCCGGTAGTCAGAGAACCTTTGAACCCATATTCCCCTCTTCCTAGCTATGCATTCTGGGATACGAACCAACCTTCTTATTCTGTGCCAGGACAATGGCCCTGGCTTCAACTCCCTTCTGGAGGCTGGAACGGAGTCTGAGATCCCTGAGGCTCTCCAGGCCTTTCCTGCTAGCAAAGATCAGTGAACTCCACTGATAAGTGTGTTCATTCCTGCGCCACCCACAATGCGCATGCCCACCACTCTGGTGTCATGTTACTGCTGTCATTTGTTACTCCATGAGTTCAGTCATAAGACTGTAAGGTTAGTGTCACAACCAAATTAAGTAGTGCCCATGTCACAGGCAAGTAAAACCATTCAAAACAGTTTTTTTCTGCACTAGGTTAACTAAGGGTTAACAGAAATGATAGTAACAGCCTCCTTTGCGCATGTCAAAAAGAAATTTATTACTGCGCCACTAACAGAGATAAAAACTCTTGCTTTTTGTGCTGTACATAAATCATTATAATTGGTCAGAGAAAACAGGGAGTTACCCTATGATAATGCCTGAGCGAAAACCGCTATAGTAATTGGTGATTCTAATTAAATTTATGACATGGTGAAAAGCAATTGGCTAGTATACAAATAAAACCCGTCTTCACTTCCGTGAAGTGGGAGACCTCCGCGCACACACCTGAAAAACCTCTGAACGTATGCGTGAGAGTAACTGACAAAGTGATCACTTGTCAGTTTCCCCCGTCTTCGACCTTATCTCAGACGTAATCGACGACCCCGGCCCGACATTCTGCACGATACGGAACTCCCATGGAGACCGACCTACGAACCCTAAGCTGTAACTAACCAAGTATCTTTGACCTCCATCTTTCACCACCTTGATGGAGTAAGTAAATAATCTTGCTTTGCAACCGATAAGCGTCCGCCTAATTAATTCCACTCCAAGCATCACAAGTACCCGCCCAACGGCCTCTAAGGCTTCCCCCCGTTGCTGCAGTAACTGGCAGCGACAGTTAGGAGGGACTTCACATGGTCATCTAGTCCAGCCCCATGTTCCAGGCAGGATTCTTTCTTATTAACAAACCATCACAGCCAAGCATCTGTCCAACACAGGATCATAGGAAAGTAGGGTTGGAAGGGACTTCTGGTGTCATTGTATCAGAGACCTTGATTTAATGTGGCAGCAGCAGGATCTCAAGGAATGGTGTGATAGGAGTTGATAAGGGCTGCACATAAGTGTGTTAAAGGTGGAATTTGACCTGGCCCTGGGTCGTTCTGTCATAAGTTACTTGGTCTGTGCAGATACAAATCTTAGGCGCTTGACTTGGCAACCTTAATCATCAGAGTGTATCAAGAGGTTATTTGAGATGGTCAAGGGGACAAGTCTTGAGTCTTTCCATCCCCATTATTTTGCAGAACCTCACAATTAGCTGCCCCAAACTTTCTGCCACATACATGTGGGCCACAAAACACATGTGCCAGCCCTCTCAGGCCATTCAACTGCCCAATATTTATGTCCCTCATTAGCAGTTTGATCATTTGCACAGGGCCACTATTAGAGAAGGCTGATGAACCACTGTCTCACCTGCTGTGGAACTAACCTTTTTACTCCCACCAATGCTCTGACAAAAGAGCAGGATGATGGGAAGCTGCCTTGATAGGATTCAGTAGCTGAGCCAGAAGGAAAAGGCCCGGGGGTCACGTGACTTTGTTTTCCCTGAGTGGGGAAGCTGGTAGTGGCTGGTAGAGGTGCACAGAGGTACAGTGCTGACCTGTTCCCAGTCGGGGGTCAGAGGATAATGCAGAAGAGATCTGAAAGTGGTGAGACTTACCTGAGGTGAGGTCTATCACAGAAGTGTCACTGTCCAGTGAATGTGACATTTCTTGAGATTTACCTAGAAGGGGAAGGAGAAGCAGAGAATTGGCTAATGGGATCTGCCCCGGGAAGACAGGGTTTCCTCTCCAGCGGGGACAAAATAGCGGGACTGAGCCAAGGGGCTGTGTTACCTGTATTACCTGCTACAGAACTGGTCTTTTTACTCCCACCACTGCTCTGAGAAAAGAGGAGGATGATGGGAAGCTGCCTTGATAGGCTTCAGTGGCTGAGCCAGAAGGAAAAGGCCTGGGGGTCACGTGAGTTTGTTTTCCTGGAGAGGGAAACTGGTAGGGGCTTGCACAGCTGCACAGAGGTGCAAGGATGACCCGACCCCAGTCAGGGATCAGAGGTTTGCACAGAGGAGATGTGAGAGTGATGAGACTTACCCGAGGTGATGTCTGGCACAAGAGTGTCACAATCTGGTGAATGCGACATTTCATGACCATTACCTAGAAGGGCAAGGAGAAGCAAAAAATCGGGTAAGAGGATCTGCCCCAGGAAGATGGGGTTTCCTCTCCAGCGCAGCAAAGTACCAGGACTGAGTCAGTTATATTGGTGATGTTTTATTGTCACTCCCATGCAAGTGATTATGGAGTAGCACTGGGACTCCAGTGTTTAAATCAGTGCCAACCATGTGGTATACATGAGCGTAACCAGAGAAGGAATTTACTCGGAAATTAAAAAGGGTGCATAGAGCTAAGGATGGATCAAAATTGGGGCCTCTTAGGATATCAGTCCAATTAAAGAAAAAGTGCAGTGCAGAGGTACTAAACACTTTACAGGAACTCATAAGACTGTGTTGGTGAACTAAGGCAAGACACTAGTTGAAGTATTTCACCTCAGAACAACTGGCTTGGTAAGGGCACGGTGGGTGGATTGAGCAGTCCTGTGACTGCTGGTGTGGCTATCTGTGTTGTAATGATACCAACAGATTCACCTCCTGACACTTCTTAACACTTACAGTTTTCTTCAACATCATGTGTGTGCCAGGTGAGTACTAAAATGATAAGCAATTCCTGGCAAGATTGTATGCAGCACATTTTCCTATGTGGGCACCACAATGCTACAATCACATTGCTAAATGTTTGGACGCTGCCCAGTTACATCCCTCACCCCCTTTGTTAAAATAAAATGGATTGTTCCTGCCTCCACTTTAACTCATGCAGCTTTTAGACCTTTAACTTACAAAGAAGATTCCTGATGCAGCCAGTACAAGAGGCACCAGGACACTAGGGACATGAGAGCTGCCTGGAGGGGTCTGAGTCAACTTAGTCTCCATTTCAATCCAAGTTCCATGCAACCCCCAGGCCCTTAGGTGGGAAGACAAGCATAACTACTCACATGGAAGGGGGAGAAAGCTTTTACCCACTTTTCAGCCAAATATTCTAATGGGTGGGGCACCTGCCCATATTACTGGGGAGCTGTGATTTGGGACACTTGTAGTTAGAGAACCTTTGAAACCATATTTTCCTCTTCCTAGCAATGCATTCTGGGATACGTGCCCACAGTCTTGTTCTGTGCCAGGACAATGGCCCTGTCTTCAACTCCCTTCTGGAGGCTGGAACGGAGTCTGAGATCCCTGAGGCTCTCCAGGCCCTTCCTGCTAGCAAAGATCAGGGAACTCCCCTGATAAGTGCATGCATTCCTTCCAGCAATAATACCAATGTCCACCAGGCTGCTGCCATGTTGCTGCTGTCATTTCTTACTCCATGAGCTCAGTTGTAAGATTGTAAGGTGAGAAGGGACTTCACATAGTCATCTAGTCCAACCCCATATTCCAGGCAGGATTCTTCCTTATTAAACCATTCCGGCCCAGTGTCTGTTCAACTGGCCTTTTGATTACCACTGACAAAAGAGCAGTATGATGGAAAGCTGCCTTGATCGACTGTGTTGTCTGGGCCAGATGGAAATGGCTCGGGAGTCAGGTGAGTTTGTTTTCCTGGAGAGGGGAACCCAGGAGCAGCTTTTGCAGCTGCACAGAGGTGCAGTGGTGACCTGACCCCAGTATGGGATTAGAGGCTTTTGCTGAAGAGATCTGAAAATGGTGAGACTTACCCAAGGTGAGGTCTGGCACAAGGGTGTCAGAGTTCAGGGACTGCAAAGTTTCATGAGCATTACCTAGAAGAGGAAGGAGAAGCAAACACTTGGCTATGGGGATCTGCCCCAAGAAGACGGGATTTCCTGTCTAGTGTAGACAAAATACCAGGACTGAGCCAGGGGGCTGTTAGATTGGTTATGGTGTACGGTCCTTCCCATGTAAGTTAACACGGAGTAGCACTGGGATTGATTGTCTCTTTTTGGTGCCTGTTTAACCTTCGACTATCATGCTGGGAACTGTGCCTCTCAACAAATCACCCAAGTGCTTTGAAGGAATGGGGAAATCCCATCTCTCTCTGTCTCTCTCTGCCTCTGTTTCTCTCTCTCTTTTTCTCTCTAGGCATAGTTTTGTGAACTTGAATTTTATTAGCTAAGCTAAGAGCTAGCTTTCCCCAAATACTCAAATGAACCAGGGTAATATTATAATTGCTCTTGTTTGTGTTTCCTTGCATGGCTATTATCCATATACTTAGCAATAAATAACTTTTATAGTCAAATTGGTGGTAAGCGGGAGTATTTTACTTTCTCTACTTCCCATTCCACACTTGCTCTGCAGTAATGCTTCTTTTACCTAAGCCAAAGATCCTTGTAATTCCCAAAAATACTGTGCAGTCTGCTAATTAAGACACTACCACTACTAGGATGGATAGGGCAAAAGACTGGGACGCTCTGAGTTTGAGACACTTAAGGGGAATAGCTTGTATAGGCTGATTGACCCACTTTGTCTCAGATGTGCCCTAATGAACTGAATGCTGGCCCATGAGCGTGTCAGCTGGACACAACCTGATTCAGAGGTATTCTGTTCACCTGTGTGCGTGTGTTTGACTGTGTTTTAATCTTGCCCCGATGAACTGATTCCAGGCATATGAGGGTGTCAGCCTGTACATACAGATCAACCCAGCTGGGTCAGGCATATCACGTTAACCTGTGTGTGTGTCTATGTATCTAACTGATTTGGTGGCTGGAGTAACCGAGCACAATTGAAACTGAGTCCTGCATGATAGCTCCATTGGGGAATGAGGATTTGCAGAAGAGAGAGATACAGCTCGATTTAAAAACACAAGTTACACAAGCAGCACATGGATAGAATTAGACAGACCCTAGAAATATACCCCTAATAAATGATGACCTGTTCCCAGTTGGGGGTCAGAGGATTATGCAGAGGAGATATGAAAGTGGTGAGACTTACCCGAGGTGAGGTCTGGCACAGGAGTGTCACTATCCGGTTCTTGTGGCATTTCTTGAGCTTCACCTGGAAGGGAAAGGAGAAGCAGAGAATTGGCTAATTGGATCTGCCCCAAGAAAACAGGATTTCCTCTCCAGTGGGGACAAAATGCTTGGACTGAGCCACGGGGCTGTGTTAGCTGCCTTACCTGCTGCAGAACTGGCCATTTTACTCCCACCACTGCTCTGAGAAAAGAGCAGGATGATGGGAAACTGCCTTGATAGGCTTTGGTGGCTCAGCCAGAAGGCAAAGGCCAAGGGGTCACGTGAGCTTGTTTTCCGTGAGTGGGGAAACTGGTAGTGGCTGGTAGAGGTGCACAGAGGTACAGTGATGACCTGTTCCCAGTTGGGGGCCAGAGGATTATGCAGAGGAGATATGAAAGTGGTGAGACTTACCCGAGGTTAGGTCTGGCACAGGAGTGTCACTGTCCGGTTCATGTGGCATTTCTTGAGCTTCACCTAGAAGGGAAAGGAGAAGCAGAGAATTGGCTAAGGGGATCTGTCCCCAGGAAGATGGGGTTTCGTCTCCAGTGCAGACAAAATACCGGGACTGAGCCAGTTATATTGGCGATGTTTTATTGTCACTCCCATTCAAGTGATTATGGAGTAGTACTGGGACTCCAGTGTTTAATTCAATGCCGACTGTCTGGTATACATGAGCGTAACCAGAGAAGGAATTTACTCGGAAATTAAAAAGGGTGCATAGAGCTAAGGATGGATCAAAATCGGGGCCTTTTAGGATGTCAGTGCAATTAAAGAAAATGAGCAGTGCCACAGGTACGAGACAACTTACAGGAACTCATAAGACTGTGTTGGTGTACTAAAGGAAGACGCTAGCTAAAGTATTTCACCTCTGAACAGCTGGCGTGGTAAGGGCAGGGTAGGGGGATTGAGCAGTCCTGTGACTGCTCTTGTGGCTATCTGTGTTGTAACGAAAACCAACAGATCCACCTCCCGATACTTATCAACACTTTCAGTTTTCTTCAACATCATAGGTGTGCCCGGTGAGAGTCAAAACAATAAGCAAGTCCTGGCCAGATTGTATGAACACATTTTCCTATGTGGCCACCACGATTCTACAGTCACATTGCTAAATGTTTGATCTTGCCCAGTTTCACCCCCGCCACCTTTGTTAAAATAAGTTGGATTGCTCCTGCCTCCACTGCAATTCATGCAGCTTTTAGACCTTTAACTTACAAAGAAGATCCCTGAAGCAGCCAGTACAAGAGGCACCAGGACACTAGGGACATGAGAGCTGCAGGGAGTGGTGTAAGTGGACTTACTCTCCATTTCAATCCAAATTCCAAGCAAATCCCCAAGCCTTTAGCTGGGCAGACAAGCATAACTAGTCACATGGCATGGGGAGAAAGCTTCTACCCACCTTTCAGCCAAACAGCCTAATGGGTGGAGCACCTGCCCATACTACTGGGGACCTGTGATTCTGGGATATGATCCCACATTCTTGTTCTTGACAACAGAGTAGGATGATGGGAAGCTGCCTTGATAGGCTTCAGTAGCTGAGCCAGAAGAAGGCCTGCAGGTCATGTGAGTTTGTTTTCCCAGAGTGGGGAAACCAGTAGTGGCTGGTAGAGGTGCACAGAGGTACAGTGATGAACTGTTCCCAGTTGGGGGTCAGAGGATAATGCAGAGGAGATATGAAAGTGGTGAGACTTACCTGAGGTGAGGTCTATCACAGAAGTGTCACTGTCCGGTGAATGCGGCATTTCTTGAGATTTACCTAGAAGGGGAAGGAGAAGCAGAGAATTGGCTAATGGGATCTGCCCCGGGAAGATTTCATAGACTTCATAGACATCAGGGCTGGAAGGGACCTTGGAAGATCATCGAGTCCAGCCCCCCGCCCAAAGGGCAGGAAGTCAGCTGGGGTCATAGGATCCCAGCAAGATAAGCATCCAGTTTCATCTTGAAGGTGTTCAATGAAGGCGCTTGAACCACCTCCGGTGGCAGGCTGTTCCAGACCTTGGGGGCTCGGACAGTAAAGAAGTTCTTCCTTATGTCCAGCCTGAAACGATCTTGAAGTAGTTTGTGACCATTCGACCTCGTCATCCCTTGGGGCGCTCTAGTGAACAAAAGTTCCCCCAGGTGCTGGTGGTCACCCCTGATAAACTTGTAGGTGGCCATCAGATCACCCCTGAGCCTGCGCTTTTCCAGGCTAAAGAGCCCCAGGGCTCTCAGCCTGTCATCGTAGGGTCTGCTTCCCTGACCTCTGATCATGCGCGTGGCTCTTCTCTGGACTCTCTCAAGCTTCTCCACATCCTTTTTGAATTGTGGAGCCCAAAACTGGACGCAGTACTCCAGCTGCGGCCTCACTAAGGCCGAGTACAGGTGGAGAATGACGTCCCGGGATTTGCTTGAGAAGCATCTATGGATGCAAGCCAGCGTTTTGGTCGCTTTACTAGCCGCCGCATCGCATTGCAGGCTCATGTTCATCTTGTGGTCAATGATGACCCCAAGTCTCTTTCTTCCATAGTGCTAGCCAACATAGCACTGCCGAGCCTATAAGGATGCTGCGGGTTTTTTTCCCAAGGTGGAGAACCTTGCATTTTTCGGCGTTGAACACCATCAGATTCTCGTCTGCCCACTTGCTGAGCCTGTCCAGGTCAGCCTGGATCACCTGCCTGTCACTGGAGAGGAAACCCTAAGACAGGGTTTCCTCTCCAGTGGGGACAAAATAGCAGGACTGAGCCAAAGGGCTGTGTTCCCTGTCTTACATGCTGCAGAACTGGCCTTTTTACTCCCACCACTGCTCTGAGAAAAGCGCAGGATGATGGGAAGCTACTTTGATAGGCTTCAGTGACTTAGCCAGAAGGAAAAGGCCTGGGGGTCATGTGAGTTTAATTTTCCTGGAGAGGGAAACTGGTAGGGGCTTGCACAGCTGCACAGAGGTGCAAGGATGACCCGACCCCAGTCAGGGATCAGAGGTTTGCACAGAGGAGATGTGAGAGTGATGAGACTTACCCGAGGTGATGTCTGGCACAAGAGTGTCACAATCTGGTGAATGCGGCATTTCATGACCATTACCTAGAAGGGCAAGGAGAAGCAAAAAATTGGGTAAGAGGATCTGCCCCAGGAAGATGGGGTTTCCTCTCCAGTGCAGACAAGTTAGATTGGCTATGTTTTATTGTCACTCCCATGCAAGTGATTATGAAGTAGCACTGGGACTCCAGTGTTTAAATCATTGCTGACTGTGTGGTATACACAAGTGTAACGGAGAAGGAATTGATTCAGAAATTAAAAAGGGCACATATAATTAAGGATGGATCAAATTTGGGGTCAGTGATGTGGTCAGCCCAATTAAAGAGAACGTGCATTGCTGCAGGTACTAGACAATCTACAATAACTCATAAGACTGTGACAGTGTACTAAGCAAAGACTCTAATCCAAGAATTTCACCCAGAGCAGCTGGAGTGGTAATGGCAGAATGGAGGGATTGAAAAGCCCTAAGAGGCCAGGTGGCTATCGTTGTTGCAATGAAAACCAACAGATCAACCTCCCGGTCTTTATGTTTTCGTTTGGTTTTATTTGGCGTCAAAGGTGTGCCAGGTTGGGACCAAGAAGAAAAAGCAAGTCCTCAGTGGTTTGGCTGCAACATATTTTTCTATTCCAGCTTTTAAAACTTTAGCTTACAAAAAAGATCCCTCATGCAGCCAGTACAAGTGACACCAGGGTAGTAGAGATATGAGTGCTCCATGGAGGGGTCTAAGTCGACTTACGCTCCATTTCAATCCAAATACCATGCAAGTCCCCAAGCCTTTATCTGGGGGACAAGTATACCTAGTCACATGGCATGGGGAGAAAGCTTCCACCCACTTTACAGCTGGACTGGACTCTGAGATCCCTGAGGCTCTCCAGGTCTTTCATGTTAGCAAATATCAGTGAACTCCCCTGATAAGTGTGTGCATTCCTCCCTCCTACACCCAATATGCATGTCCACCAGGTGGTGGATGTTGTCATGCTACTCCTGTCATTTGTTACTCCATGAGCTCAGTCGTAAGACTGTAAGGCGAGGAAGGACTTCACATGGTCATCTAGTCCAGCTCTCTGCTACAGGCAAGATTGTCTCTGATTAAACCAGCCCATCCAAGTCCAACACAGGGTTGCACTGACTTTTGAGCGCTTTACTTGGCAACCTTAATCATCATCTTTTTAACTCTTGCAAGGGTTTTCAGCCTTGTGAGACTCCTGCTGCCCCTTAACACCATTGAACAATGTCAGCTTTCAGCTTGCATGTGTTTTTTTCCTTATGGAAATATACTAGAGCATGTCTTTGGCTGCAAATTTCTCAGAAGAACCAGAGCAGGCCACAAGGTGTTTGTCACTGTGGCTTCCTATTTGCAGTTTCTGGGGTCCTTCTGTAAAGCATGTGCAGGCATTCACACCCTTCACAGGGCAGCTTATGTTGGTGCCTGACTTATTGGTAGGGTCCTTCATTGCAGGTGTGGGGGTTAAATAGGTCTGGGGTGTTGATCACCACGATTCCATGTCACATCTGCATGCCTTGCCCTGTTTCACACCTCACGGTTACTGCACTTGCCCTCAGTGAGGACTTGAACTGGTTCTGTCTAAGGAGGGTGTTTCCTTCTCCTACCACCATGCTTTTGCCAACAAGGACGCTTCTCAGGTCTGAGTTCCTGTGGTCCCCTGTGGGGTGGGAACAAGTCTGATGGTCACAACATCTCTGCACAGGCAGGAACAGTGAATGGAAAAGGTATGACATTTTAATTACCCAAAGCAACTATGCTATAGTGGGGCCCAGAGGCCCGAAGTAAACAGACCACCAATCCTCAACTAGGGTGATGTGGGCCTCTGGGTTGCCTTGAGACACTATTAAGTGTTTTTCAGGGAGCCCTACTATGTTTTTACTATGAGGTGTGCAAGGCAGATTCAGAAGATAATCCCAGGAATTTTAGACTGGAATCCACAGTGTTCAAACTATCCTGCTCTGCTACAGTCTGAGATGAGCTATCTGAGCTCTTCACAACTAAAGTCTTGCTCTAGGATTTGTGTGTAGTCAAAAGATGAGTGAAAGCTAAGAGCTGGCATTTTCCAAAGGGGCCGGAGTGTATTAAGAGGTTCTTTGAGATGGTCAAAGGGACAAGTCTTGAGTCTATGTTTGTCTTTCCATCCCCACCACTTTGCAGAACCTCACGCTTAGCTGCCTCACTCTTGCTGGCACGTACACGTGAGCTCCATAACATACATGCCAACCCTCTCAGGCCACTCATGTGCCCAAAATTCGTCTCCCTCATTAGCCATTTCAGCATTCTGACAGGGCTGCAGTCATGCCCTGGCATGATTGGAGAAGGCAGATGAACCATTCTCTTACTTGCTGTGGAAATGGCCTTTTGATTCCCACCGATGCTCTCACCAAAGAGCAAGATGATGGGATGCTGCTTTGACAGGCTTCGGTGGCTGACCCAGAAGGAAAAGGACCAGGGGTTAGGCAAGTTTGTTTTTCTGGAGAAGGGAAACCAGCAGCAGCTGCACAGAGGTACAGTGATGACCTAACCCCAGTCAGGGATGAAAGGATTGTGCAGAGGTGATCTGAAAGTGGGTAGATTTACCCAAGGTGAGGCCTTCCAAGAAAGCATCACAGTTGGGTGGATGGGGCATTTCGTGTGCATTACCTAGAAGGGGAAGGAAAAGCAGACAATTGGCTAAGGGGAGCCACCCCTTGGACCAATACTCTTCAATATCTTCATCAGCGACTTGGACGAGGGAGTGAAGTGTACTCTGTCCAAGTTTGGGGATGACACAAAGCTGTGGGGAGAAGTGGACACGCCGGAGGGCAGGGAACAGCTGCAAGCAGACCTGGACAGGTTGGACAAGTGGGCAGAAAACAACAGAATGCAGTTCAACAAGGAGAAATGCAAAGTGCTGCACCTAGGGAGCAAAAATGTCCAGCATACCTACTGCCTAGGAAATGACCTGCTGAGTGGCACAGAAATGGAAAGGGATCTTGGAGTCCTAGTGGACTCCAAGATGAACATGAGTCGGCAATGTGACGAAGCCATCAGAAAAGCTAATGGTACTTTATCGTGCATCAGCAGATGCATGACGAATAGATCCAAAGAGGTGATACTTCCCCTCTATC